GAGGGACGGGGGGAGCAAGAAACCCATAGCTCCGACGACTCGATCTTTTCCTGGGAGTGGCTGCTCGTACTGAGCCGTCTTCCCAGAGTCCCAGGGTCCGAAGCTGGCCTCCGGAGGCCGAGAACGCCGAAAAACTTTAGACCCGATGGTTTCTCAGTCCCTGGAGGCCTGGGAGGAAAGACAAACCTCACGTGCCTGGACGCTGCGTACCTCCTCGCTCCAGACCGAGCGTTCCGAGGGGTCCCGCGGGCGCCAGGGGCGCCCCGAGACGCGACGAACATCAGTCCGAAAGGGCCCCGAAAGAGCACCCAGATGGGCTCCGAAGGTCACACGAGAGGCTGCGCAGTGGCTCCGCGAAGGCCCTTCCTGCGAGAGAGAGAGAGAACAAAACAAGAGAGAGAGAGAGAGAGACGGGCACCCTGAAGGGCTCCCTTCGGAAAGCTCCTCGTACGTGGCATTCTACGCTTTCAGGCCTCGGCCAGCTCCAAGAGATGCGTTCCAAGGGCCGCCGAGAGAATGCAAACACCTCCGAACCCAGGCCTCCGACGTCGTGATTTGTTCACAACGTGGACCCCCAAAAGCTGTACCAATTCCCTGGGACCCGCTTTTCATCCTTAGTCATTTTTTGACAACCCTGAAACAATCCAAAACCTCCCGTCGTGATTTCTTCACGACGCGAGCGGGTCTGGGGACGGCCCCCAGCGCGCCCAGAATGGCTCCACCGTGGCCCCAGCGATGCCCCGACGGGCCCCCCCGCGGCAGCCCAAGACCTGGCCCCAACGGCCAGCCCCACATGTGAGCCCTGGATCCTCCATGGACGGCCCTGGGACCACAGGGCCCCAAGACGCCTCTGAGAGGCCCCAAGAAAAGCACCTAAAAGAGGCCCCCAAGACAAATTCCGATCACGAGAGGCGAACGTATTCATATCCAAACCTTCGCGGTCTGGACTCCGGGGCGCGATCCCGTGGAGAAGCGGTCGCGTGGATACTTTCCGCGCGGGGCATCCTCGAAAAAATACCACGTATCCACTGGGTCGGGGCCGAGGGTGGCAATGGAGCGCGAAATCACTGCGTTGTTACGCAGCTTCCCCACACGCGGACGAGGATACGCGCGGCAACGCAGCTGACCACAATGCGAACCAATGTGCATGTGCGACACGATGATGATGTCATCGCGGTCTTAGGGAAATCGTCGCCGATATACAACAAAAGCCAGCATCAACATCCAATGCTGCAAAACCCGCGGTTTTCCAAATTGCCGAACCACTGCGCACATCAGAACGCTGACCCGCATCAACAAACCGATAGTCCCCGAAAGGTAAGCGCATGCGCTGTGGGGGCATTGCACTGCACTGCCCAACAAGGCAGCGCACCGTCATGGGCAGGGATGACTGAAACAAGCTGTGGACGTTAGTGGACACTGTCGGCGCTGACTACGCAATGTAGAAGGTCGCACTGCCATCGTTTCCCTCATTCCCCGCCCCCTACGTCCACCCCAGCTCCGTCGCCCTTCCAAGCCCGGCCTCCAAAACCCTCCTCTTTCTCCCCCTACTCCCTTCACCCCCCCTCCTCCTCCTACTTTTGCATCCTCCCCCCTCCCGCCTTCTCCTCATCCCTCATCCATCCGCGCCCCTCCTTCACCTGATAAAACTCGCACCCGAATCAATATCATCTGCATTCGCATCCTCCCCTGAGCCCCCGAAAACCTGCAACATCACAAAATGCCGTCGAACCCCCCGAAGAATTCCACCAGCCCTGTAGGGCGTGGGCAGTTTAGAAAGGTTCCTCTTCCAATCCCCTTTGTTCCCCTTTCGGGAAGGGTTTACCCCTCCCCCCACCGCCTCCCCCTGGACCTGGGCGATGGGGGCCGCGAGGTGTCAATGCAAAAAGCAGGACGAAGGCCACGTAGTAAAAAGGTTTGGGATATGGTGTAAGATGGTGTACCATCCAGAAGACTGATTGGGTCTTGCTTTAGGTACGATAGTGGGCCGCAAGATCCTCTAGCGGCCAAGGCAAATCGGGCGCCGGCACCCTGAGCCAGACGCCGGCGGCACGCTCGCTATGCTCGCTATACATATATCCTCTGACCCCTCTACTTCAGACTCGAAGGCGGGAGGAGCTGAGCGGAGCGAGCGGCAATCAAAATCAAAACGGCTCAGCAGGCACGGTCCGGCATCGAGCCTGGATAGTGCCGCGAAGTGGCGACAGGGGCTGACCTGGCCTAGTGCCAGCGACCGTCCTGCGGGGCCCCCCTGACAAGGGCCCAACGGCGCAGACAGCACGAGGAAAAGAAAAAACATATTACAAGCCAAACGCAAGAAGAATATACAGATGCGCTGATATCACCGCGTGCTTCCACGCCGAATAGGAGCGGCCCGCTGGCTCGTCATGAACCAGGCCCTACCTTCGAGGTCGGAGACCGAATGGAGCGCAAGTTTTCAACTCGCGCAAAAAGGACTGCGTTCCCGCCATTACTTATAACTGCAAGTCCCGTTCGACACGGCCTTTGGTACGCCCATCGGCAGTCATATCCCTGGTATCACACCATTAAAGTTGTGTACGATACGTCTATCCATCATCTGCCTTATCCAGCTGATGTGACCTAGCAGCGCGAATTATGTAGACGTTTAAGAATCCTTGCTGGACGAGGATTTGCATGCCGACTCAGCATCGATGGCGAGGGTAACTTTGACTCAGAGACCACCTATTTCAAGTATATGTTTGAGCTGCGCTAGTGTAAGCGGCCCCGCCTTTAGCTCAAATAGGGGGGCAATGGTCGGGTAGCAGTCTCTAAATTACGGGCTGCAGCTAGCGTCTCCGCAGAGTAACTTAGTCTTACCTGCAGCCGATGCGACTTGCAGTCGGAATCGATCAGGCGCACGACATATTCGCCATTACGCGTGTGTACACGCCGGAGCAAGTCGGAAGCTCTGATGCCCTTAGGTTTCATAGCATAATAAACAATCTCCCGAGGTTGACTCTGCAGTTCCTGCGCAAGTGCATTCAGCCGCCGCACCTGAACATTGGAAAGTTCTTGAACCCGTTGTAGAAAGACAACAGATACCATCAACCAGACCTGGGCCATGAGAGCATATGCTAATTCCCCACGGAGGCTGACGAACACGTCTGCTACAGGTTTCGTCGCTTTCTCCTCAGCCTCCGCCCCCGCAAGGTCAGGGTGATGGATAGGACAAAGTTGATTGATGTATTCGTCCTGATCCAAATTAACATACCCATTGCCAGTCTGCGTACATATGACGGCACAATTGCTGCAAGTGTGTTTGTAAAGCTCCCATGCGCCAAACGTGCTTTCGACGCATTGCACGCAGCGATCGATAGTTCCCTGATTCCCACATATTTTTATATCGCCCACGCGTTTGGCCAACAGCAGCGCCTCCGCCGCGTCGAGTTCTGCGTCGCGAGACGCGGCGCGCAGGCCGAAGACACGCGTAACGGTGCGAAGCTCTAAGGAAAAGGCTGACGGAGCGCCCTTCGCCCCGGCGCCTGGCTTCCGGCACTGCGAGCAGCGACGACTTTCGTCGCGTTTATCAAACCCAGAGGGGGCACGCAACACAGCTGCTGGCCCAAATGGTAGCGCAAAGCATACGACGCGCCCCCGCTCGCAAAGTGCTTCCGCAAGCTCCCGATAGGCGAGACCCTCTAGGTTTGCCATATTTATATCCATGGACGCAATAGTCCAGTCAAGGCTACAGGCACATTCACCGGCCAAAAGGCGCCGGCTTCAACTTCTGGCTGTTCCTGAGAGACCTTCTACACCAAAGGCCCCCACGCCCGTGAATCCTCGCAGGACAAGTTTCAAACGAGTGGCCCTGACCATCTCTCCATTCTCATGCTTGACGAACATCCATGTATATATGTAACGCGAGGTGAAGACATCTGAGGCGCCTGAAAGAGATGTCATCTTGAAGCCCTTGCTATCAAGCTAAATCTTTAACTCAGTGTAGAGCGCCTCCCCCACCTGCACTGGGTTGGCTGCTATCTCGGCCCCCGCAGTGGCAGCGCCACAGAGAGATGCCCTGCTGCGCGTTTGCGCCGCTCCCGGGGCCCCGCCACCAAGCCCGCGGCCACGACCACGCGACCACCGAGAGACACCTCACCACCGAGGGCGGGAGGGCGGGGAAAAGAAAAACACCGAGAACGGCCCGCGCGAGCACAGCCGCGGGCACCCCACCGCCACCCGCGGCCAGAATGACCGCACGGAACGCGAAGCCCTTGCCCACACAGGGGCCGCTAACGTCGACGCGGCCACGGCCGCCTGGCCGAGAGCGCCACCGCTGCCCTGGCCAGCGATCGGATCCCTGGGCGCGCTTGCCCTAGAGTGCACGGAAACGCTCTCGAATTTCAATTCCGGACGCGCCTGTGCCAGGAAGGCGCGAAATCGCATTTTCCAGCGCAATGATGGGCGCGCGTGCCCGAATGCACGAAATCGCGCACCGATGGCACTTGCGGGCGGAGCTGCGCCAGAGCGCGCCAGTTCTGGGCGCCCTCGCCAGAAGATATGGAATTGAGCTCCGATTGCAACTCTGGGCGCGCTTGCCCCAGAATGCACAAGAACGCGCGCGAATTGCAATTTCGGGCGCGCCTGCCCGGCAACGCGCGAAAGCGCGCTCGGATTGCAGCCCTGGGCG